ACAAAAGAAGCCTCAACAATTTTAAGAAGATAGAAATTTCTCAAGCATCTTTACTGACCACAATGCCATGAAATTAGAAATCAACTACAGAGAAAAAAAGGAAAGCATGGAGATTAAACAATATGCTATTAAAAAGCCAATGGACTAATGATGAAATCGAAATTGAAATTAAAAAATACCTTGAGACAAATGAAAGTGAAAACACAACCACACAAAATTTATGCGACACAGCAAAGGCAGTGCTAAGAGGGAAGTTTATAGCGATACAGGCCTTCCTCAAAAAAGAACAATCTCAAATAAACAATTTAACCCATGAGCTAAAAGAACTAGAAAAAGAAGAGCAAAAAAACCCCAAAAGGAAGCAGAATGAAGGAAATAATAAAGATCAGGGAGGAAATAAATAAAATAGAGATTAAAAAACAACAGAAAAAAATAAATCAAACCAAAAGTTGGTTTTTTGAAAAAGTAAATAAAGTCAACAAACCTCTAGCCAAACTCACACAGAAGAAGAAAGAGAGATCACAAGTAAGCAAAATAAGTAAGGAAAATGGAGAAATTACAACAAATAATATAGAAAGACAGAATATCACACGAGAATATTATGAAAAACAATATGGAACCAAAATGGATAACCTAGAGGAGATGGACAAGTTTCTGGAAACATGCAGTCCACCAAGACTGAACCAAGAAACTGACCACTTGAACAAACCGATCACTAGAAATGAAATTGAATTAGCAATTAAGAAAACCTCCTCACAAATAAAAGTCCAGGATCGGACGGCTTCACTGGAGAATTCTACCAAACATATAAAGAAGAACTCATACCAGTCCTTCTCAAACTCTTCCAGACGATTGAAAAGGAGGGAATATTCCCAAACTCATTCTATGAAGCCACCATCACCCTGATACCAAAACCAGGCAAAGACACTACCAAAAAGAGAATTACAGGCCAATATCATGATGAACATAGATGCAAAAATCCTTACCAAAATATTAGCAAATAGAATCCAACAGCACATAAAAAAGATTATACATCATGACCAAGTGGGGTTCATCTCAGGGACACAAGGCTGGTTCAACATACGCAAATCAATCAATGTAATACATCACATCAAGAGAAAGGACAAAAACCACATGATCATCTCAATAGATGCAGAAAAAGCATTTGATAAAACTCAACACCCATTTATGATAAAAACTCTCACCAAAGTGGGCATAGAGGGAACATATCTCAATATAATAAAAGCTATATATGACAAACCTACAGTCAGCATAGTACTCAACAGTGAAAAACTCAAAAGCTTCCCACTAAAATCTGGAACAAGACAAGGCTGCCCACTCTCACCACTCCTATTCAACATAGTCTTGGAAGTCCTAGCCAAGCAGTTAGGCAAGAGAGAAATAAAAGGGATCCAAATTGGAAAAGAAGAGGTAAAAGTCTCACTATATGCCGACGACATGTTACTATATATAGAAAACCCTAAAAGGTCCACACAATAACTACTAGAGCTGATGGAGGAATTCAGCAAGGTAGCAGGTTACAAGATTAACGTTCAAAAATCAGTTGCATTTCTTTACACCAACGATGAAGCAACAGAAAAAGAAAGTAAAGAAACAATCCCCTTTAAAATAGCACTCAATGTAATAAAATACGTAGGAATAAATCTAACCAAGGAGGTGAAAGACTTACACACAGAAAACTATAAACCATCGATGAAGGAAATTAAAGAAGACTTTA